GAAAGATGTCAATATGAAAAGGCATAAAACTCCAAAGGAAAAAAAAAGCAGAGAATTGCAAGGCAGCAACGCTGAAAGTCATCTCCAGGGAAGAACAGAGACTCGCCCTTTCTCACGTGGCTAATAATCACTTGGCCAGCAATGACATTTTAGGTGTCTTACCATCAATGATGAGCATATCAGTTCAGTAGTTATGCTCACAACTCATTAGTCCTAGTTACCCATACTGTGCATTGCCCAATTAATAATTGCCTTAAGCACTCTTAGTGTGTATTCTGGTTGCAGAGTTGCCCTGTGCACAGTAGTAGCTAAAATCTAATTTGTTGTTTAGATACTTCCCTAACAGGATCGAGTTAAACTTATTTTTCCCTTTCCAGTGTCCTATCCCGTTAGGTTTGATCACAAGAAGGGTAACCCACTCACCTCTTGCTTGGATAATTTCCAGTCATCATTAAGATCCATCTCTTGGAATGACTCATGAGACCTTGGTCCATTCCTAATTTCTAGAAGGTCAATGTTGAAAATCAATGTACTCTCAGGTGGAATTTTTCCTGCCCAAAACGATAAACACGGAGAAAAATTAAAAACAACTACATATTCAGTGTCATACAAAAGCTGTCATGCATCACAGCAATGTTCCAGTAATCCTACTACTTTGAAAGCATCCTGCAACTTCAACTAACACGGATAAGTATCTGTACAGTGATAACTGTAACTATTTCAGACTGTAGCCTGGACCCTGAGCAGCCCTTACAGCATATACGCAATTTTAGATGCAACTAGTTTTGCTGGAGACTAGTACAAGCTGATGTGAGCTCATATTCAGCAATCATCATCGCAGGTTTATCAGACAATGTTTTTGAATCTTTTTTCATGGCCAGAGCCAGATAAAGTGGGAAACAGTGAAGGAGACTGTACAGCCAGCAGGCAGTCACTACTTCAACATACAGCCAAGACTGATGGACAGAGTAGCAAGAAGGGAGAGTTCAGTCCTCATGATACAACATAACCCCACCAAGTCTCCAAATTCCTCTCCGCTGCCAACTGACACCTTGCACGGGCTATTCTGCAGCTGGAAAAACTCTTCTTGCAGAGAAAGAGAGAAGGGCAGCAATGCTGTCAGTATCCCATAGCTGTCTCTGGACTGCTGCACAAAGCACTGAGCTACTTCCAAACACATAACAGAAACTAAGTATATAAACCTGCTCAAGAGACACGTGTTGGCATTGTGCCATTTTTGATGCAGGTGAACAGTCTGGTAATTTCCTAATAGTGCCAAAGACCATTCCTGCCATGCCACCACCCCTCAAGGACTTCAGTTTATCAGGCACTGGCTTTTACAGTGATGTGATGTGCCTTCATGCTGATGGCTGAAGCTACTGTCAAAGACCTTTTAGCACACCACTTTGCACCTTATATATAGTGAGGCTGAAGAGGACTAAATATATTTCTATACTGAATAGCTGCATCCCCCCCAAAAAATTCCTGTGTCTTGAGAAGATAGGGTAAGAAGAAGGGAATTAGGGAAGAACTAATTCACATCTACTATTATGGAGATATGGTGCTAAATACACCATACGCTGCAGCAACAAACAGGCTTGTAGATTTCTAGGATGAATAAACGTGCAGAAACTTCTGGAAACACAGGGCACAGTTGCCTGCTGAGAGTTTGGAACACAGGTAATTTTTCTGAGTGTTACAGAAACAGGCATCTGACTCATCATTCAAGTCAGACAGCAAGCAAGGTGGGAGGCTAGTGAAATCATGTGCATTCAGAGGAAAGCATGAAGAGAGTGGAATTGTTCTGTCTTCAAGGGCATCATTTGAAAATAGCAACATAATTATGTTCAAATACTTCAAAGGTTTCTTAAAGCAAGTAATTTCTTACAGCAGTTCAGTGTTTACTTGTTCAACCTTCTTGCACTGAACACAGGTGAGGCTTGCAAGTCTTTGAAGAACAACCGTAGTGCTTTACATATTAATCAAGGCAATTAGGCCTGTGATGACTGCACGAGTACTGCAGCGTTTAATCTCTTTTTGTGGGGAAAAAAAAGATTACAGTTGTGCCCCGCATACAGTCAACTAACTGACCACCACAAGTTTCCTGTTCTCTACTAGAAACATGATTACTTCTAATACCATCTCTTGAACCCCACAGCAAGGTTTCTAGAATTTTTCTAATGTTTTAAAAGGATACTTTCAAGAAAGGAGGGTACACAGTACGCTGCATGTATGGAGTATTACTTTACATGGAGTAATATGGAGTATTACTTAGTCTATGTTCAGCCCTACTTGCCAGAAGATACAATACTCCTCATTCCTGTAACAGTTTCAGATTAATGGGAAAGGACAGTAGTAGGAAGGATTGTATGTTCCAAGACATTTATCTTTTCTGCTTTGAAACCTTGCATTACCTTAGGTCATTTGTGATAACTGTTGTCATAACAAAATATTCCTAGTAATTGTTCAAAAAAGTTGACTAAACCAAACCCCAATAAAGTAGAAAAAGTAACTTTTCTGCATCCTTCAAGCTGTCACTCATTTAACTTCAAATTCCACATCTGGCCCTCTCATTAACATAGAAATCCGAAAAATTTTGAAAGGAAAACCCCCAATCCCATCAGTAGTAGATAGCTTGAGAAAACACTACAAACAACGCTTTTATCTGTCTGTACACCATTCAATACATTTTCAGTAGATGCCAGCATGACTGCCCATGTATCTGCATATCTTACTGTGGATAACAAGGACCACTGCCCTAACTGAAAATAGCTAAAAGAGGGAAAGAATTAAGTGTCCCTGTATGGAGAAATAAATGGTGACTTTTCACTGTATCAGCCAAGAACTGGTTGGGCAGCAGTCCAGGGAGTTTATCTTAGAGTTCTAGAAGAAACCTGCAAGCAAGAACGAGGCTTGCACATGCACATTCATGAAGTATTACCACAAATAGACGTAACAGCCAAAAAGCCAACTGTTACCTAAGCAACCACTTCCAGCTTGACTGTAAAAAGGAGGAAAAAAAGGAGGGCACTGTTGAGTACAGCACTAACAGAAAAGACACTTAGAACATCCAGTGCTGCAGCTACCATCAATTCATGTTTTCCGGCATTCACTATGTAACCACTTAATGGTTATTTCCACTGAAAACAAGCCTGTGAGAAAGAGCACCTGACTCCATCGATTTTTCTTATTTAATGGAATCAGTCTGGAAAACCTGAAAGCTTCCTAACCTCTTAGGCCAAGAATAACAACAAAATACAGAGATTAAAAACAACTAAAGTAAGGGAAGGACTTCAGATGTTTTACCTTTCCCTTCTTTCCCATAAGCAAGGGCTGGTGGAATAGTTAGCTTCCGCTTCTCTCCCACACACATGTCCTTCAAACCTTTGTCCCAGCCTTTGATAGCTTCCCTTATGCCAAGTGTAAACCACATAGGTTGACCATTGTTATGCTTGTGACTGGAAAAGAACGGAATAAAACAGTCTTCAGACAGCAAGTTCCATAAAAGCTACATGGAGCAGATGGAATATGCTCACAGCATAGATCTATAATTAAAAACACACCACTATTTGGCACCTTGGCATTTCTTAAATGAAACACCTAGACTTTTAAAATCCTTAAAACTTATGCCTTGCATGACAGGGTTCCTTAAGAAGTGGAAAGAAATAAACCAACATCTACACAGTGTGTTTATGACAACGCTGAGCAACCCGGATCCTCACCTTCATTTCCCTGATCACCTATTTCCACTTTGAAACTGATCAGACTAGAAAGGCATTTCTACTTAATCTACATTCAAGGCCATGCATATTTTTTGGTAAATTGCAAATCAAAAACCATCTTGATCATGATTACAATATACCTTATAAGATGCTTTTAGAATCGGCCACACCTCTTCCAAAAAAGCCATTAAGTAAAAAAACTAACCATACAACAGATAGTCTAGAAAAACAGAAATAAACGCATGCAAAACATGCACGTTTAAAAATAGGCAGACAAGACCCTTTTCCAAATTAACCAGGTGGCACATCAGGACTATTTTCACTCTCCCGACAAGGTATTTTAAAAGCTCGATTTACTAGTCATGCAGGAAAGGTGCTTAAAAAGAAAACAGAGCACTTACAGAAGTTAGTCAGGAGCAGAAACTTAAGAGTGTCACTAGAACTCCTTTTAGAGAGGCAGGTTAACTACAAGAGAAAATTAGTGAGATTTTAGTTTAAATAGTCTGCAAGAGCATAAACATGCAAAACATTGAGTTTTTTTTAAATATGTCCCACAAAAGCAGACTTCAGACACAGCCTACAGATATTTCAGCGTTTTGCCGTCTCCAACTATTAACACTTCGTTGATGTTTTACAGGAAAAGCAACATCAGCAAGTCGTTGAAGGCTCTTAGCAGACTCCTTTGAATTTTTGGGTCTTCCTCCTACTTGCATTACTGTGGCTCTAGTATGTTGATTTGTCTGGTCGGAGGCAGGTGAGGAACATGGTGTTTCAGAAATGAAAAGCTGTCATTGTGCTGCCAGTAGTGGAAGGATATATATAACTTATTTGAAAAAAAAAATAGAGGCAGGCTTCTCCCCTAGAAGTTTGCTTTAGAATGAGATCATATGCCAAAACTTGTGTCTAAATTGCAGAAGAGTATTTGTATTATCTCTGTCTTTTAACAAATGCCACATGGCTATGCTTTCTACAGACTAACCAGGAAAAAACGCGCTAAGTAAGATTTATTTTATAGCCTCGATCTGGCAAAGGGAAAGGAGACATGCTTTACTGTTGGTGTTCCTCTTAAATAGCATTGTGAGCAAGCGCTTCCTAAACTGTCAAAGTATAGAAGCAAATTAAACTTTATTAAAATAGGTGGCAATGAAAAAGGTCTCACTGCCAAGTTTGTGCAGCGTTATTTAAGCTATTTTAATTTAATAACAAATAAAATCTAGGCCACGGTATGAACAGGCACGCATTGCTTTTGTATCCTTGGGCGTTTTGGGAGGGGGGGGGTTATTGTAAAAAAATAAAAAACCACCCACCCTCAACAACACACTCCCCACAGAGCTACTTCCCGCGTGGGTTGCGGGCCACTGTGAGGGGTCCAGATTCAGGAAAGCACTGCCAGACGAGATCACGTACTCCAAAATAC